ATAATACACAGGTTTCGGAAACAAAAGTATCGGTTTGTCCAATCCGAGTTTTGCATAACCCAAGTTTAGTCCTCAAACAACTACATATATATTCTTCTCAAAGTTCTTTGTAATAATCATGATAAATTTTCTTTTCATATTTAACTAGATTAGTATGTTCATGAACCAGCCGCCAAAGATCATTAGCAGAAGGAAATTCCAGGATGGTGTGTATGTATGAAAAAATGACAGCATCAATAAAAGTCGGTAACCTATATAAAAAAAAAAAAAAAAAAAATCATTTTTTTTTTGAATAAATCGGACAACACTTTGCAAATGCTTATGCACATATCATTATGTGTAATTAGGTATCCACCTTTCACCGAAAAAGTACGTATTATCGGTCAAAACTACGGAAAGCGCCTTCAATGCATCTGCTGCTTCTTGGTATATCTATATGTGAAAAAGTGATGTTTATGTTAACAACTTTGAGAGTAATAGAAAACATTGACATATGACTATGTACCTCCTCCTGATTCAAGATAGTTCTCCTCGTTAGCATTTCTTTGATTGCTGCATCTTTCGCCTGATACATCAACACCGTGTTCAATGGCTTAGAGTAATTTTTACCATATTTTGTATACGTAATAATTTCGTTTTCTGGTTCACACCAAAGTGCATAAAGCTACGTAGGCAATAATTTAGTGGTGGTGCCGATCGTTAAATTTCCGATATCTCAAACGTGAACTCACCAATGCATGGCGCAGTTTTGTGTCGGCTAGTGTGATGAATGCTTGGGAATCAGCTTGGTGTTCTTGATTGATCAGCTCTCCAAGCTTATCAGAATTCTTGTTATAAAAGTGGATCAGATACGGGATAATAAATAAAAAGCTTCTTTGTTGTAATGATTAACTAATTACATGATCTTTCGCGTAATTTCCAATCATTTCGTCCACGAGGACCTCGCCGGTCGGTAATACAAGTACTGGAAGTCTCCCTTCATTGAAAGAACAGAGAGGTAAAATAGAAAGGAACATTGAGAACAAAGGTAACGACATAAATTATTCATACCAGACGGAGACATTAGTGGCTCGTTTGAGCTCACGGTTTCGAAATCCTCGTTGACGAATTTTAAATATGTCTACAATTGAATAACGAACCCATTTTATTCATGAGTACACGAAACGTGGCAACCGAGAGCATTCTAAAACTTTTGAATGCTACCTGCCACTTTAGACATTCCTGATCAAAGGATGTTTCTTTATCTTTCCAACCCGGTCCCCAAATGTATAATTTCGGACATATAAGTTCTTTGCTTTTATAAAGGGGTTTATTTACTTTTAATGGAAAATAAGAGAGGAATTGTCGTATATTTTGTAATATCGGATTATCATTTAGATTATCTCGCCACGTCGGGTTCGTGGAGGAAACAGATGAAGACGCCATTCTAGAAAATAAATCTGAGCAAGTGTTTTTTTTTTTTTATATTCCGAGTTATGTTATCTGATTGGTCGGCTTCCCTGATCTGATCACGACGTTGTTGCAACTATACATATAATATGTATGCATGCCACGCACTTTGTGAGGACATGGCGCTATCTCCACACGGGAATTTACAATACGATTGGATCAACTAAAAACACGAAAATTACACTGAATTTTTTTTCTGTACTTGGGATGTGCGAACCGCGCATTTATTTTGCATCGTGGAAAGAATGCGCACAAGTTCACACCCGAATTTCTTTTCTTTTTTTTTGCCAGTTACATCCAAATATGCACATGATTAATGCCACACACCAATTTCCGTACATGAATACGAGGTACTGGTCCCAATCTATTTTGGTCACGTCGGATTGAAATTAGGTCTGCAGATGACTGCCAAGTTTGGTTAGGATGTGCTAAAGAGAATTTACGATATAAAGTGGCTACTTTTCTATTCCGTGAAACTAACTTCTCTTGCTAAATAATAAGAATGTCCCTTTTAAAATGGATTGGAGTGGTAATATGGCATTTGGTTTTTTAGAGTTCTCTTGGGTTGTCTTTAGTTTAGGTGAAGTAATAAATTTGGTATGAAAACTTGCATTTCGTCGTCCTTTCCTTGCGATTAATTTGACAGGTTCCCTCCGGAAAAGCGGCGACCAGCGAAGCGTGGACAGAGAAATACTGCGGTTTAGAAAATGTAAGAGACTTAACAAACCGTAATTGCAGACTGAGGTTTCAAAAAATAGTTCTAAGCTTGTACCTCGCTTCTCTTTTCTCAACGAACATTACCATTTCAGTTCGGAAACACGTGGTAAGTATATTCGAAGGATTATTATTTTCTTTTTTGCGAATTTGAATGAAATTATTCACATAATTAATTATTCAATTTTAAATATCAGTTATTGTAATTCAATTATACAGGCTCTTTATTTCTGTAAACCTTTTCGAGAATGTGTTATCAATTTTCCTAGCGGGCCGGTAAATCTAGTCACACCATTGTCACCACCCAGCACGCAATCATCATCGGTAACTATCGTGAACGGGATTGTTTCTAAAAAGGAGGCAAATGGAGATAATAAAGGTGAACTTGAAGTAGTTGATAAACTTGAAATGTTTAGAAGGTTCATGTTCACCGTTTTCTTATTACTTTTTCTCACTGTAGTCAATGGGGATTTAAATTCCATGTCGGCACAAGGAATCGAGGACACTTTGTTCGGTGCCTTGAAGGATCTGTTTTGTAAAATGAGTGGTCAAAAGAAACGAATAGGTTCTTTGGCGCCGACTCATTTCATCTCCAAGTTAAAAAAAGAAAATGGTATTTATTTAATTCCTAAATTAAGCTTAACATAGGTATAACTATTTATAATATGTATATATTATAGGTTCATAAATATATTATTATTGAAATTTGGATTATCAAATAGAACTCTTTCGGTCAACAATGCACCAAGACGCGCATGAATTTTTGAATTTTCTTCTCAACGCCATAGCCGAAAACGTTATGGAACAACAAAAGAGAATCGAAGAAGCCGAAAGGCAACAACGAGAAAGAGAACGGGAACAAGAACAACAATCTGAGAATAATGAAAAATCAAAATCTCCAAATGGTGCAAGTGCACAAAGTAACGAGGAGAATGGTAATTCAGGTAATAAATTTTGCCAGGAAACTTCTATGCTGTTTCCTCGTACTTTACATTCACAAGTATAAATGTAAATATTCGTGTATATGGTAGCTGATGGGAATTCATGCAAGGGCTCCGAGACAACATCCAGCATGGCTTCATCAAGTACAACATGGGTTCATCAACTTTTCGAAGGCACATTAACAAACGAAACCAAATGTCTAACCTGTGAAACTGTGAGTATAGCATATTACCCCTGACCGTTGTGTTTTTATTAAGATCCATAATTTACCTCTTTGTAGGTCACAAGCAGAGATGAATCTTTTCTCGACCTTTCCATCGATATTGAACAGAATTCTTCGGTCACATCTTGCCTGAGACAATTTTCTGCAAGTGAGATTTTGTGTCACAAGAATAAATTTTTTTGTGATGTATGTTGTGGTTTACAAGAGGCCGAAAAAAGGTGTGAAGCCGCAAAGTCATACAAAATATAATTGCCCGCTCAACCTTCTAAATTGGCGTTTTAATATTAATTTAGATTCTGTCGTATTTTATTAGAATGAAAATCAAAAAATTGCCAAATGTACTGGCTCTTCATTTGAAGCGATTCAAGTATCAGGAAAAGCTACAACGATATATAAAATTGTCATATAGGGTTCTCTTTCCGTTTGAGTTAAGACTGTTCAATACGGTAGGAAATCATCACGTTTGTTATTCGATGTTTAACGCTCCATTATTCTAAATACTCCTTCATGCCCAACTAGTGTGACGATATCGAAGATCCAGATCGTCTATATGAGCTCTATGCTATATGTGTTCACATCGGGAGGTAATTATATGAAATATTTTGTAAAATGAAATTTCTTGCATTATCGGAAGGATTTATAATTTTCGTTAATCGCAGTGGTCCATACCATGGCCATTACATAACATTGGTGAAGAGCATGGGACAATGGCTTCTGTTTGATGATGATAACGTTGAGGTAAGCAAGCGTGGGTAAACAGTAAATTGCTTTGTTAGTCAAATACTTAACATGCATCCGATTTCAGTTTGTAGATGAACCTGATACTCAAAAGTATTTTGGGGATCTGCCGGGGTCCGGATCGGGTTATGTGCTGTTTTACCAAGCATGTGATTTAGATCTTAGTTCCCTTGGTTTATCGAGCGCTGTATGGACGAACAATAATGCTTCGGGATCAAGTTCCTCATCAGCAGAGTTTGATGCATCAGCTGAAACCAATGATCCACTCGCATCAGATTCTGTGGTGCAAATAAATGGCACGGATAATAACTCCCAGGTTACGAGTAGCAATGATGATTCACGAACTGATCGTAAACAGTGGCTATTGGGCAGCGGGAGAAAAAAGGATCATAATATCCCAGACAGACGAAAGTCTCACGCCGATGCAGATACTGTGAGAGATAACGACGAAAGCCAAAATTTCAGTCATGAGAAAGAACGATCATGGTTTGGAGTCTCACGTTCCAATTCTAAGTCTCATAAGGAAAAGGATAAGAAAGAGGACAAAGAGGAAAAAAAATTGACTTCGAATTTAGAATCTTTGTTTGAGGAATCTGAAACTAATAGCAGCACGAGCAACAAAAAAGATAAGAAAGCAGAGAAAGAAGGGAAGAAAAAGGAGAAGAAATTAAAATCAGAGAAGAAGTTGGAAAAATTATCAACAGCTGGCACCAATGAAACTATTTAAGTATGTTTTATTATTTTACAATATCATTATGGCCTGTTTGGGCCATGCTTTAGTCAACAGAGTGTAGAAGACGGGGGGGGTTTAGGCTATAAAAAATGAATTAATTTTCTAATAATAACAATACAAATGCGATTGGTTGCTTACCAGCAATCTTAATTTTTTATTCCAAAAATTTAGGGCGCTAGATCGCTTATTTTCTGAACTCTCTCCATTATTCCTTTATTGTACATTAGAATTCTTATTTTGTCTTTTAGTGTAATAGGTGAGCAAGATGATTACATAGAGTGAAAACTTTCTGAAATAAAACCTGTAGTTGATGTCTACAAGGGATTAAATATTCAGAGGTAGCTGTAAGGAAATAGGATTACGATTTTTTTATTTATTTTTTAATCTACATAATAAAAAAATTTTTTTTTGAGTCTCTTATGACACGTCATAAGAGCTACGAATAATAGAATGACGTAGATAATAGAAAATGCGAATTCCGGAAACAATCATCTGCATCTGCAAAAGTATTTTAGGAATCATTCTTGACTTTATTTATTGATGTGGCGAACTATAAACGATCGCCTTTCACTTGAATACAAAACTCAAGTTGATCTCTGACTATATTATCAACATTATGTCTTTAAATCGATGCTGTAACATATATTCACTCCTTAACGTAATCAATTCGCAATTAGACTTTTCACCGTTAATAAAGTATGTTAATCTAAGATGAAGAATCAATTCGAATTTATTTTATTTTACTTTTTTTTTTTTTTAAAGATCTAACGGAAAAAAGGTTTATTTTCTTCACTAATTTGTGTTTTCGTATTTATTTAAGTCTGCTATATTTATTTTTACTATCTTTAACAAATCTCTTAATTATAATACACAGTAATACAATATATTTTTTAAATTAAATAGTAACTATATTATTTCTGGCAAAAAAATATTCTTTCTTTTCACTAATTCTTTTTTTTCAAGAAATTTTCCTTTATGATGATTTTTTTGAAAAAAGTGAATTAATCCAGATACACAAAAGAACAACATATTTTTCAAGTCAATCTATTCATATATACAACAAAACTAATTAAAGTGAAGAGTTATAAATTTTGTCCCTCATAAAGAGGCATAAGTGATCTGTGAAATTTTTTATTCTAAACACTTTAGAAACCCATTATATATGATAAATAATATCAAATTATATGATAAATAATGTTGAATTATATAGTAAAAATTGATTGATGATTTATTTATGATAAATGATATAGTAAAAATTGATTAACAATTTATTTATGTCATTGATATGCTGAATTATTTATTTTTTTTGATAAATACAGTATTACATGAATGGTATAATGCTAAATAAATATTTTTTGATTAGTATATTTTTATTCTTATTGATATTATACAGATATTTTCAAAATTAATATTAATATATAATATTTGTGTTATCTAATATAAGTTTATATTTATTTTTTATATAACTACACATATTTTTATTTTTGATTCCTTTATATTTTTTAAAATATTTCTTAATTGAAATTTGTTTATTTTATGATTAATATCTATTAAACTAATATAAAAAATTTCTTTACTTTTTTTAGATTTTAATTTTTTAAAAAATTTTCTACTATTATTATAAAATTTGTTTTATTATCTTAAGATTTAACTATTAAATATTAAAATTTTTTTCTTTACAGTTTATCTTTTTCAAGTATTTTAATAAGCTATTTTCTGTATTGATATAAAAGCTTAATTATTTATTTTTATTTAAAATTTTAGATATAAAAATTTTTTTTAATTTGTAAATAGTTTTAATAAGTTACATATATATATAATTATTATTTTTTTGGATTTTTCTAAAATATTAACAATTATGATATTGATTTTATAAATTTTTTTTTTTATATATAAAATAAAATTATTTATTATAACTTTTTATTAGTTTCTAGCAAAATAAGTATTATATTTTATAATATTTGAGTTTATATTGTATACTGTATTTTTTTTAATTTTTATTATTATTATTATTATTTTGATTATATAAGTAAATTATTGATTTATTTATTATAATATATAAATATTATATATTTGTATCAATTTTTATTAGTTAATTGTTATTAAATAATAATTTGTTTATATTTAATATTTTAATTATTATATTATTTAATACTATATAAGTTTTTGATAAAAATATTTTATCATAGTTATTAATTATCACTTCTTTTTGTTAAAGTATATAGTATATTAATTTTTTATAATTTATATTTTTTATTATATATTTTTAATAAATTAATTAAAATATTTAATATTTTTTAAGATTTGTAGGTCAATGATATAGTGATAGTACTTTCAGATTGTAATTATAAGATCTGTAATTCAATATCACTTAAGAATCAAAATCAAAAATTATTTTCTAATCAGATTTATTGATAAAAATCATACTCAATTATTTGAAATAAAATTAAAATCAGATTAGGTTACATAAAGATAGAACTTTCAATCTTTTATCAATCAAGAATTAAAATCTATAGTTATATTACTAAAAGAATTATATAAAGAAAAACTTCTAGTTTAAATGAAACTCTTTCTATTGATCCCTTGACCACACACAAAAAAGATATTTGCAAGAAAATTTTTATTTCTTTACTAATAAAGTCTTAATACTATCCTTAAAATAACTTGAAGTTTTACTTAAAGAGATACTTTCAAACACTTTCTCTTGTTTATATTCATTTTCAAACAAAAACTTGACTTTCTGTGACCTAAAAAAGTCAAGAAATACCTTCTCTATCAATGGCAAGAAAGTTTTATAAGGAAGAAAAACTAATAGTGTAGTACTTGAAGCCTTTTGTATTAAAACATATCTATAAAGGTTTCTAGCAGTGGGAGGTAGTAAAGATCAAGCCATATTTTAAAGTATCTATTTACTATACTGTATCTTCTTTCTTATAGTTGTTCAAAAATTTTTTTGATTTTCTGAAGAATTTTGCCTATCTCAATTTGATTCTAAATTTTAAGTGATACAATCCATTACAAAATATAATTAATGAATATAAAACATATTAATAACTGAATATAAACAAGTACCTACTGGTCACTTCATATGTTCTAATGATGTCATTTGTGAAAGAAAGAGAATCTATTGGTACAAATCCTCCACTTCTTCAAATGAAGTGTAACTGAAACAAAGAAATCATGAGGCTATTAGAATAAATACTAAATTCCCTAGGTAGTGAAAAGGTGGTTATTTTTTTCAAGCTAAGGTCTTCAACTTCTTATTATCCTAGTCAGGTAAAAGTACACGAAAGAGATTATTTCCTTATTCTAGTCAGGCAATAAGACTAAAAAGTAGAAGAATATGAGCCACTACCCTTCTCTAGGATTGAGAATACATTTCTCTAGACATTATATAATAATATTGTAAATCTAACTAGATAAAATTTAATACTTATTTTGCTAGAAACTAATAAAAAGTTATAATAAATAATTTTATTTTATATA